AAATTTCTTGTTGTGAGAATGTAAGTTGGAAGTCTTATAGCAGTAGGTCTTATCTCACTCATCACAAGTCCTTGTGCCATATAGACTTATTAGTAGATACCAACATTGCAAAGGAAATATACTTCCCAGAAGATGGAGGCAGTTAGGATTCAGTGATTTTTTTATTTTATGAATTCTTTTAATTATGGAAAATAATGCATCCAATTCTTTGATTCCGTAGGTGATTGTGGGTAGCAAAATTGCAAGTAATAAAGGTAATAAGACTGACATGTCAGTTACTTGACTGGACACTGAGCAATAGCTTCTCATTCTTCACTGCTTCCTCTTTTGCTGTGTATTTCAAACATAGTTTAGAAAAATACTGCTAGCTTCTTGAAACAGTTATAATTAATGGCCAGTATTTGAAGACAAATTTTATTAACACAGACAGATTTGATCATCCTGGCAGCTGTTTTTCCATCCCACCTTTACCATGCACACCGCAGCAAGGCTGTTAACGTGTAGTGATTGTCGACTGCGGTTTTCTAAGTTGTGATGCTGTGTGGGCTTGTATGTGGATTGCAACCTGCAAGACCACAATAATTATCTTGGCCACTATGAAAACCTCAAATCTGTACTATTGTTACTGTTTAATGAAACCAAATTTTGATATTCAAGATGGACCTTAGGGAGATAGGAATCAATGGAGTGAACTGGGCGCTACTAGTTCAGGATAGTGTCTGGTGACGAGCTTTTTGTGAATATGGTGATGAACCTTTGGGTTCCATAAAGTAAGTGGGCTATTCTTTGACAAGCTGAGTATACAATCTACTTTGCAAAGAATATCCTGCACCATAGAGTGAGATTTTGATGATCAATTTCTTTCAAAGAATGGAACTTGTTCTTATATTTACATTATATGTTTAATCTACATCCTTTACATTTGAATATATGTGTGGATAATTATGGATTATTTTATTCACAAATAAATGCCACCAGTTTCTGATATACGCTTAGACTGTGAATGTGTCTGATGCCTGTGATTTGTGCAAGAGCTTTTTTTAATAATATAAATGACTACTAGTCTGAAATTATTATGATTAAGTTGAACCTTTAGTGTTTTTTTATACTTGTTCTCATTAATGACATGTTTTACTGCATGTACAAAAGTGAAATTTGCAGCAGGTCAGAGTGAAATAGGAAATTAATTCTGCACATGTAGGAACATTAGTAATCAGGGTTTTGAGATTTGACAGGATGGAGAAATAGAAATGAATATTAGTCACAGGAGTTGTGGAGAACGTTTTATACCTATACTGAGTATGAACTGTGTGATAGTTGAGAAACGGAGCAAGTGAGGGGCAGCTTGAATGCTTTGTTTGGAGTTGAGAGTTAATATGCATCCCAGATGATCAAGAGTTGATGGTCTGACAGTCTTGACAAAATTAATGTTCTAATTCTTCTGGTAGCTGTGATATAATCAACATCATGTCTAAAGTTAGGAACCATTGGTTGTGTAACATTTCTATTGTGTAGCATCACCAGATGTTTTAAAGTGGAAATGAGGAATTTCACTGTAATTCGTTAATATTACTACTGCCTAACACTGAATTTTGTGTGCTATTGCTGTCAGTTTTGTTTTAATGACATTAGGTTATTTCAAAATGGCTTCAAATATTAGTCTTCTTTATATATTAACTAATTTACTGTATTAGGTAAATAAATGTTACTTTGCATTATAAGGTGGTGCATGCGTGATGAAAGTAATGGTAGTGAATGAAGAAGAATTATCAACATCGCATTTCTTCTGTAGTGTCTTGTTATAAGTTCTTTCAACGTGGAACATTAATCACAAATATTATTGTCCACTTTTCTAACCCTTCCTGGTATTTCTTCCCCTAGCACTTGCACTTTTCTGCTTCACTAGAAACCTCGAGATTATTTGGATTTTCACTTAACAAGTGTCCTAACGAGCAAGATGTTGTGTGTTAAATATCAGCAATTGAACATTGAAGATTGGTGCAGTGTTCATAAGGAAAAGGTAATACCATGTTTTTATTGTTATAAATTGGTTGTGATGGGATCAGTATGGAAATTTTGTAGCACAGCTTTATGGCAATTATTAAGGAGTATGAGGATGTAAGCTAGAACAGTAGTAGAAATTGAGAACTAAATTTTGTTCTTAACTTTGAGAATGATTGTTATACCTGTTGGAGCAATTTTGTTTAAACTTTTGAACATTGGCATTTGTGTCTGAGTAGTTTTCTGGTTATATATTCATGCTTTTTGATAATTATGCATTTAAGTTTTTAAATTGTGTCAGCTGAATACTGTATGTAGCTTCTTGTTACAGTTGTTAGCATTGGTGGGAAAAAGTAATAAAAAAGAGGATCAGAAAATTACTATCAGAATTAAATAGTGCTAGCCAGCATCTTGGATAAATTCATAGTTAGTTGTGGTAGTGTTTTGATGGTAAATGAGATAGATTGCATGTTAAATTTACATTCAGATAGTAAATTGCTGCTTCTCTGGAGGCATTTTTGAGGTTAAGGTATTTATGTTGTAAGTGAATGCATTCTTTTATTGATGTAGTGAAACATTATTGTTTTTAATCCAATAAAAGCTTTGTACCTTGGATGTGTCATGTAGTTAATTTATTTTATAATTTTAGATTTTGATGCTTTCTGTACTCCATAAACCTTATATCCTGCCATTTATGAAGAATGTGTGAATGGTTTTACCTTGATTTTATTTAAATCTGGTCTTTTTTATTTGAGATATTTATTGTGTATGTTTTTGCATGGTTGTTAGAATATGTGTATTATTTATTGATAAAGAACAGATTGGCTATGTGAGGGATCTGTAAGTGCATTGTCGCTGACACCACTGTATGTGCACGGTGTTGTGTGCTTTGTATTTTTTTAAGTTTTGCTCCGTACATGTCCATGTTGCTGCCTTTTATGTATAGAGTATCCCATGATGTGAAAGACTTCACCACCATTACAGGTTGAAGATGAAAGGCATCACAACAATTTTGCCTTTTCTCAGTATTGAAATAGTTATGGACATTTGAAATTGTTGAAAAACAAGCTCACTATTTATTTTTGTACACTGTCCATTGAAACAGTAACTCATAACTCATTACAACAAGATTGGGAAGGTACACTGTTTGGAGTTCACTGAAATTCCAAAGGTTTTCTTCATACTACATCCTGGGTGGCAATGTAAGCAGTTGCTTTGTTAGTACACCACAGAACACATCACTCTTACTTGAAAGGGATAAAATGGAACAATGATATCCAATGCCATTGTTTCATATCCGTCTGAGGTCATTGTGAGCCAACGGCGTCCTTGCCGCTTCTGACCTCTGTTCCCATTATTGCAACATTGTGTTCCAGTAATACCCTCAGTTTCCAAGTGTTGCAGAAATGTCTTCAATGACTTGGGCCATGTGGGTTGCCTAATTCCTAGACAAAACGTAACGGACGGACAGACAGACTGATTGATACAGATGACCCCAGAAGGTGTTCCTTGCTCATGCTGTAGCATTTAGAATGCCCCATAATACCTTAGGCTGACCACCACCTTGTCATGGGCGAGTTTGGCAGACCTGTGGCCTTCAGATTACTGGTGCAAAGTGACCAGTGCGCTGTCCCGCTGAAACCACATATCTCATTTATCTCAAGTGGCACAAATTCCAAAAGTTCTGGCAGGAAATTTCAAGGAAGTTCAAGTGTATCTCTGTAGTTAAGTGGTGTTCAGATACAAATGGTCGCAAGAGTATATTGTTATTAATGCTGCAACAGATGTTTTGTTTTAAAAATGAGTCTTGTTCCATTTGGATTCTCCAAGGCTGGAAATTTCTGTGTTTCGTTACTCCATCCTTTGTGAACATTACCTCATTGGTAAACACAAATCAAGGAAATAAATGGATCATTTTGGATGATCCGACTGCATCCGACTAAAGGGCTTGAACAAGGTGCTAGTGAAATGGATAATAACCGTGACAGTCCAGAGTTCTGTGTGCCCCTCCTTTACAGCAAGTGTTTTTAAAATTCTATCAACACTGGTGGTTGGACTGCTGTCTTCCATCTCAAAAATAAGCTCTTCTTAAAGAGCTGTTTGGTGTATTGGATGCGTGCTTATTGGATTCAGAAAGTCATCTATTTTTCACAAATAACTGCACATCTGAAAGCATACTCTAGTAAGAATTTTGTTGGTTTGGGAGTCAATCTCTCACTCTCTGACAGCTGATGCAACGTTCTTATCGTGGAATTCACACATTGTTAGTGTATGTGCAAGGCCAACATTTTGTGAATAGCAGCAGCACAGTAGTGCACTACACGTTACAGTTTGGTTCTAGCCACGTGTACTGAGCTGCTTGTTTCAGTGTTTGTTTCTCAGGTTGAGAAATTCTTACCTTAATAAATTCAAATGCCCATAACAACTTTAGTAATGAATATAGCTAAACTCATTAGTCTTTATTTTTTGCTTTAGTCTTCGTATTTATATAGCGTGCATGCGTGTGCACACATACCCCTGTATGATAGATAGCACAGACATGCAGGGGTATATTTTATTGGATGTAATTTCCTTATTATTAAACTGTTGAGCTGTTAATTCTAGAAAGTTATGATTTCTTACTGGAGCAACCACGGTGCAAAGTCACCAGTGTCATGTCTATGTCAGGAAGTTGTGCAATTTTACACATGTTGAAATTAAATCTTTAGTTTTTGCCTGTTTAATAAGTGATAGTGCAGTAGCTCTGCATAAAAATTCTAAGAACATGAAAACAAATTATGGCTTTGGAAACATAGCCCATTATTTGAGTGAGAGAAGTTGATTTATCAGAGATTACAGTTTTGTTATGCTGAATTTTATTCAGAATCTTTTATTAGATTGTGTACTGAATTTTTTGAGTGTATGCTTCCAAGTCCATATAAATATATAGAGATAGTTTGCTAATACATGTAAGTTATTTCTGCATTGGATGTGCATGCCTTTGGATTGATTGTTTCCAGATCCCATAATTTTGCCGAAGTCAGAGGTGCGTGAAGATGGAGAGGGCGAAAGTGAAGGTGGAGGGAATGGAGGGGGGGAAAGGATCAACTCTCCCGTTGGTGGGGAACACCAACAATCGTCTGTACCTCCTGCATCTGCCCCTGCATCTGCTCGTCCGCCCATCAAACGACGTGCCCGTCGGCGCGCAACATCTGCCAGCCAGGACCCAGCAGAACAGTTGACGGAAATGAGTGTTCGGGGTTTGAACCTTTTTCGCTATGCCTCCATCTCGGAGGGAGTGTACAAGTGCACTGAATGCGCCAAATCAGATGTCCAGAAAACATTCAAGAATAAGTATAGCTTCCAGCGTCACGCATTCCTCTATCATGAGGGTCACCAGAGGAAGGTCTTTCCATGCCCTGTCTGTTCTAAAGAATTCTCAAGACCTGACAAGATGAAGAACCACATGAAAACTGTTCATGACTGTTTCATGCCAAAAGATTGTGTGTTCCCTTTAGGTTTCTTCTTGCCCCACTAACAAAGATTGAACTTCGTTGTAGTGGCAGTTTAATTAGGGCTGAAATATGAATTCCTTTAGAATCCCTTTCTTGGTGTTTGAAAATATGCCTTAACTACTGAAATTGCATACACAATTTAAACTCATTGCACCAAATTTGGGATTCACTTACAATAAGTCTGGGGGTTTAAAGATTTTTCTGAAGAGACATGGAATCTTCTAGTTTCTAGCATGGTAACCATAGCATTAAATATTTGCTCAGAAAAGCACATTTGTTGATTATTAACAGTTCTCTTCTCTGTTATATGTATTTATGAAACGGCAATAATTGAAGTTACTACTGATACCTTGTTCATGGGGAACTCACAGATGGTATATGTTGTAATGAAAAGTAAACATTTTTTTTTTTCAGGAGACAGTCTTCTTGAGGGCACATTAATTTGATTTCTTATTGGGAGGAACACAGTAGTTGTATAAGGAGAACTATTTGCGTATATTGAATACTTTACGGAACGCTGACCACTGAACAATTTTTTTCTTATCTTTAGATATCCTCTTCAGATCTCTCTGCTCTTTGTATTTCTAGGCGTTATAACGTTTGACTCTAGATAAGGAAATGCCACAAAATAAATTAAACTGCAGCTTAGCAAAAACTGAAACATCTTGCTGGGCCTGAGCAGTTGTGCCGAGCAACTTATCTTTTGTGGCCCATGTCTTTCCCCAAGAAGTTGCATTTTATTCTAAAGGAAATCAGGTGCTGGATGACACTCCTATATTATGTGGTTGATTTATTTCAAAGATAATTAGCAGGAATTAAACAGGAGGAGGTCCCTTACATACAAATTATCGTGTATGCAACTCAGTTTTTCTATCGTCTTTTGATGCTTGTTGCCTTATTCACTGCCTGTAAGATAAAGTCTGTCAGTGATTGAAACCAGATTTTAAAGAAGTTGTCGTGTTGACGTATGAAATATAAATAACACTGAACTCCATTTATATGATATATAACATTTTTAATATATATTAAAATATGCTCATCCACAATTCTTTTTTACTATGGAATTTTCCATATGATGTAGTTAAATTGCGTGATGGAAGAAAATGAAGTGCTGAATTGTTATTCTTAAAATGGTGTTTGGTTTGTTCATAGATTTGTCAGTGTGAAATACTGTTTACTCTGTTGAAATAGGGAACACACTTTTCTTAAAAATATTTGCTTTTATAACTGGTTTCTAATTACTGATGCCACATTTTTTCCTTCTTTTTCTTCTAATTCTGTCCCTCGAGCATATAACCTGAGTTTAAGTTATTTACGGTTGGGTATAATTATATTTGTGTTTCAAAAATGAATGCATACAAAACTATGAGGGTTTGAATTTAATATTTGAATATTTTTATTAACAGGGAAGTTTTTGCTTCTGACATGGTGATCGGTTTTCAGTTTTAACACCCAGTCTCAACTCTAAGCATAGCTGAAGGGTATTTGCCTGTGCCTCAGATGTAACTGCGTTACGTCGTTGACACTTGTTATAAAAATACAAAATATCAAATATATATATCTTAGAAGTACAATTTTGGAAATAGTGCAAATAAATGTAAATGTGGGCGTGTGGTAGGGAGTTGTTGTAGTTGATGTTATTACAGTCACATTATGAGTTGTTTGGTCAGAAGTGTAGTCATCTGCTAGTGAATAATTACCTAGTAGGTTTGCTCCAGAATACCAGTCTTTATGATGGTGTAATTCAAAAATTCTGCCATCATGTTAACCATAATTACATTTTAAAAATGAAACAAGGTCGTGATAGAAATGGCAGTGGCAAATTGAATGTGATTGAACCAGTGCTGGTAGAAATTTTTAAAGAAAAAAGTATAGGCTTATTATTAGTAAGGATATTAATCATTTTATTATATTAATATTTCTATTTCTTAAGCATATCCTTTTAAAGGTGTCCTTTAGTAAAAGAAATATACTGCAAAGCAGATAAAGGAATGGAATGGGTTTGGAATGTTAGCTAAAAAGTGTAGTAAAACTAACATTATCACTTCTACTGCATTGTTTGCAGAACAAAGTGGCTCGACTGGTTTCTGTTATTTATTCATATTACTGATATAATAGATTCAGATTGAAATTCTGTTGTTTTAGCATCTTTGTTATCTATGGCGTGGCATGCACACTTCATTATGTAATGCATCCTCTGACGTATGGGAACAGAGGGTTGATTAATAGAAAGCTGTTTTGGTACTGAGTACGTAGGTGTTAACTTAATATCGCAAGTGGAAGTACAACACATTGCTGTCATGGTGATGGTTACATTCTGTAACATAATTAGGTGGTGGGTTCATTTATACATCTTTACATTTAAAAAGTACACGTGATGCTGATGCTAAGGAAAACACTTGCCTCTTCCGTGGACAAAATGTGAAAGCCACAGCTGTTGTCAATTAGAGTCACTTTATCAGTTCTGTTAACTCAATCCTATCCTAGTCATAATTATCATAATGGTTAAACATTCCCTTGGAAGTGAGAAAATACTACTTTGAAAGAATTAAAAAGGAAAGGGATATCTTGACAAAATTGCTCCATAGTTAAACTATGTGCGAGATTCTGTTTTAATGTAGGGCTTATTAAAATAATAATGTGTTTGCTCTAGTGTGCGGGCCTTTGGATTACCGGAATTCGATACTGTCTTTACCAAAGTAACACGTTTGTCTTTAATTTGTTCTGACAGGTTGTATACTTCACAATGAACAGCAAATTTGAACCAAGTTCGTAATTTTAAAATCCCTGCTTTATTATGTGTCAAAACTGACATGATTCATAGGAAGTCTGCGATATTGACACAAAGTTTTTAATATTATTTTATATACAATAGTTAAAGTGTATTAAACATCGTTTTTCTTACACAAAAATTCGGTTGTTTAGGGGTGGAAGGGTATATACCTAGGCACATAATATTTGTTTCACAGAATATCTTTTTCCTCGTGATATTTCAAATATCATGATGTTTCTGTATTGTAAAATGTTTAAAACATTTAAGAAATGAATAATAATGAATACTGTTGGCTGGGGGAAAAAGGAACAGTTCAAATGATTGAGGATGTTAATTAGGTACACCTTAATAATGTTCAACATTTTTTGGTTATCAGAATGGCCAGTGATATGTCACCTTTTTCCCAGCCTTATTTTTTAATATTTAGTTGATTCCATTTTATACATTTAATTGAAGTTATGGATTTCCCCTAACTTAGGATAACAAAATGTGCAATCACAATTCTTTAACATATCTAGTGTTCATAGATAGTTTTATTACTAACATATTTTTAAGATATGTATATTGTTTATTGTAAAAATATGACTTTGTAGGTTACAGATTAATAATATTTGGGGATTCTGGAATATATTTAAAAGAGATTTTCAAGTTATCTTTTGTGCATGTGATTTCATATTAGGTGCGAATTTGTGACAGTAACAATTCTTAATAGCAGGCTGCTTTTTGTACATTATGAATGTACAGTGGATGACCTTATAGTTATAGTAGCATAGTGTGGAAAAAATGGTTGGTGTTTGTTGAGTTAATAGCTTGTGTTACCAAGGAACTGCACAAATCAGTATAATTTTGAGATTATGCAATACAAAGACAGATACAGACGTGTAACGGCAACGTAATTGGAGTTGGGCCCAAGTAATCATCTACATAATACAGTTTTTGTCATTCATGTAAGTTATCGTAATAAGTGCTTAGGAGTTTGTGTCAGTATAAAGGTACTTGTTGACTTCTGTAATGTATTTTGTTCGCAGTCTCATTGTCTGTTGTTGTAGAGAGCACAGTGTGTCATCGCTGTTACATTGTGATGAAAGAAAGTAAGTAAAAGCCTTTCCCTGAGATGATTCAGAGCCCATAGCTCAAGAATTAAATTAGCCAGAATTGTCATTGCGCTGTGCTTAATTCTTAAAATGGCATTGCAGTTTATTTGCTAAATTTTGTTCTTAAAATTTGATGCCGGCAAAGTCTTCTGTCCCCACGTCTCCCATACTGTATTCTGTGAATGCAGGGGCAAGATACATGATTGTGGTGTTCGGATATTGACCGTAAGTCACTTTTCTTTTATGGTGTCAAGACAATAAGCCATTGAACTTGATTAAATTAGAGTGTTTTGAAATAGTTGTTGCTTAAGGTTAATATCTGTTACGAATTATTACCTTGTATGTTAAATTTTATTGCAGTTAAAGGTAAATCGATAACTTTATAAGTGATTTGAAAACAATTTCTCTACATCAATGCTTGTCTTAAATGATGTGTAGTAGTAGTAGAAGATGGTGGTCATCATATAACCATAAGTTAATATAACTGTGCTTTATTTTTCCAAATAATAAGGGTTTTGACACATTCTCCTAAGCTTTTCTTCAGAAGTGACACAAATTTAGGTGCGTCTAACTTTAAATTGACAATTTGGAAATGTATTGTCTGATTGATATTACTTTTGTTTTGTCCACATCAATGCCTAAAATTTCATCTTTCATAAAGATCATTTGTTGAATATTGTATATGTATTAAATGCCTTGTAATCTGCTCATTCATGGACAAGAAGACTGTATACGTCCGTCATGTTAGACGTTGCGACAAAACCGTACCTGGGTAGAGGCTATTTACTGGATATGTGAAGAGTTTGTTAGTTTATTGTTGCAGCAATTTGAACTGTTGCAAACTGTCTTTGTTGGGAATTTTTCATAGTTTCTCCCTATCCTGTGTTGAATGATGAAGATTTATAATGAAGGTTAATGAGAGAGAAGTTAATTGTTTTTCTTAACATGTTAATATAAAGACTGCCAATTGGTTTATTGCATAATGGAATCTGTTGTTTTTTCAGTTGTCATTGTAGAAAGCAGAGATAATTCTGTACAAAAATGAAATATGTTTTCAGGGATGTGATGGTTTTGTTGCAGTCTAAAGCAAGATGTTTTTTATGTCTGTCGCTGATTTTACGGTATTAGGCGCATGTTAGAGTTTGGAAAACTGTGAAAATGGCATGTTAATGTTATTGCACCCCTGTCCAAATTGGTGATACGCTCATGTTCCAGCCATATCAAATGTGAAAATATACCATACTCACTACCATTATTGCATTTCAGTGGTTGTAACTTAATGTAAAGTGAAGTGCATGTGTTTTTGCCATATGTGAGTAATTCTCAGATGGAAGGGCCGTGTAGTGCATACACTAACAATGAAACGTGATAAAATCTGCAGCAAGGAAATCTGTTTCTTGTTCTGACATCATGCTCTGGGTGTGACTTTACATTGCTAGTTGTCCGCACCGTCTGCAGTATCGCGGCAGTAGTTCAAAAATACGCGAACAAAATTTATTAAATTGTGGAACTGAAATTGCATCTGATGTCTCAATGACATTTATAGATGTTTATTTGTTTGCATGGTACTTCAGTAGTTGACTTCAAAACATACATTATTGTGGACATTATAAACTTCTTCCCTTTTTTGTATTACGGATTTCAAACTCGGTTCCAACAGAGCATCAAGTACAAGGTGAATTACGTTAAATGGAGTAAACATAAAGCAGACAGTTAAGTTTAAAATGTTTGTGACCTGCTGTTAACAACAGGTTTTAAAACAAACTCCTATTATTCACTTAATTTTCATGCTGTTAATGCAAATATTTACCATCATATCTTTTAAATTGAACATTTCTTTAGAGGTAGATTTCTGTTCTTCAGTAATTTTTTCATTAAGAAAAGTAATAATGGTTGTTAAGACTTTTTACAAGATGAAATTATTTTGTTTTGAGCTTTACATAAAGTAGCATTTATAATGGGGCCATGTGCATAAAATGAAACTTGCTTCATAATTTCTAGGCCACATCCGCAGTTACAATTACATTGCAATCTGTTGATTAGTTTTGGAGAGGAAATACAAATTATTGGATGGGTATGACCTCCCTGTTATGCGTTTATTTGCTATACTTCCACATAAGAGCAAATTCTAGGAACCTTTCTCTTATCATTATAATGTAGTGTATCAAATTCATTGATGGCATTGTCATTGTTTTCTCGATACTTTATATTTCCATGGTATAAGATATGATGCGTATTTGAGAGTTACAAAATCAGATTTGACACTCAAAAATTGAATTTTGAAAGTCTGCATGTACTTTATTTTATGTAAATACATGCTGTAAAGATTCTGTTGTAACTTCTACCTAAATTGTTAGTTTGCTGAAACACTGGAAAGCCTTCAACGCTCGACATGCCTAGTCCCTGAAAGCCAACTTTCTATGTCATGCTCCACCACAGAATCTTAGGGACTAGAAAGTAGAATGAAATTTCAAATGTATTTTAATTATTTTTAGACTTGCTGGAGACTTTGTGATTTAGGGTAAAGTATAGGTGTTCCATACCAAAGGTTTTGGATACAGGACTTGTAAAATCTAGTGCAGAATGTCTGACCTCTTACCAAAATTGTAAGTCAATATTAAAAACTATGATTGTCATATTTGTAGTGTGCCAGCATAAAGTTGACACCAAAATGCCATAATTCTAGGCATTCTCGGATAATTTGTAACCTTGGTACTTGATGTTGTAGCTGAGAAAAAACTCCTGTGCTTCATATTTTGTAGGTTATGAGTTCAAAATCTTAGCCCAGAGACTGGCTATCCTGAGAGATTTTTTGTGGCCGTCATCACTTCCTCTAGTCATGTTCTGCGACAGTACCATAAATTAGGCCACAGCTACATCCTTCTATAACTGTTTCTATTCATTACTCGTTAATCTAAACAAATATATCATTGGTAGTAGAACTCTTCATTCTATGCAAATTCAAATTTTGTAAAATAATAGATTATTATTGGATACTAATTTGAAGCCTAGGGTTTCAAGAAATCTCTATTTGTTTTTGATAAATTATTCAAAGGAATGTCAGCTGCCCACAGTTTTCAGCTTAAAACATATTCCGCAAATTTTCAGAATTTCTACGAGAAGTGGCACACCCACACACACTTTCCTCTCATGTACTTACTTGTAACACTGACCTCCTTTGTCCTTCTGACACGTCTTCCCTTCGCAACATTACTCTCCAAGTCAGTTTCCAACACCTGCATTTCCAAACACAGTGTAAAATGTACACAAATAAAACAAACAATTCAGTAATTTTATACAGTTTATATGTCAGGTTTATAGGATTTCCTCAAATCTACATGTGGCTTTGAGCTGCCTGTTTGTATGCTGTTACACTGTTTAATAAACTTGAACACTCAAACTTAAAAGAAAAATATATGTTTGACAGGCTTTGAGTTACAAACAGTGCATGCATTGAAGTTACAATGGATACGCTTTCCCGTATTAATTTAATCTGGTGCCACCAAACTAATCTGGTATTGAGGTAGACTGTACTGTATATTTGGTATGGCTGGTTGAGTTTCATGTGTAATAAGAATTGGTGGTCTTGGAAGTAAGTAGTGTGTCTATTAGGGTTTAGAAACTGAAGTTACAATTTGAATATATTGGTAAAATGCTGGTAAGGTATGATTACAGAATGAGTTTTTCTTTTCATTTAATAGCCAAAGATGGAATAATTTGTATGGGGCAAAAGGTCCCCAACATTTATTGAGCTGATGCCACCATATGACTACAGTAAAGTAAAGTGAAACCAAAATGGTCCAAGACCATAATATTGTTACCATCACTTTAAATTGATTTAACATCAGTCAGTCTTTTGTGTTTATCTCTCCCAAAATATTTTATTATTTATTCCATCCCTGCAAAGGAAAATGATTTTGTTAAGGAAACATAATTGGCTGAAACTGATAATAGCAGAAGGTGGAATTACACAATGTTTATTTGATTGAGTTGAAGTCAGCCTGTTTTGCCATAGGATGGTCCAGCTGTAAAAATTCATTTAACATTTTAGAAGATGGTGTTCTTCAGAAAATTACTGTCTTGTGTACCACATGTTTTATATTTGTTAAAATTAATTTAATTTTTGTAATTTAAGATTTAAAATTATTCATTTTAATTTGAAATTATCACAACCAAGAAGTTCTGGTTGATAACGGAGTGCTCATGTTATCTAATGTCTCATTATGAAGGACTGATGATACTCAATGTCTTGTGGCAAACTGGCGGTTTAAGTAACTTTGTTAAGGACATCCCAGAAATTTCCAAAGGAACATGCCAGTTTCATTTTCAGATACCCCCTTGTGGTAGGACTCGTGATAAAATGAATTACCTGTACCAATGATTCTTTTTTTTTTGAGGGATTTAATTTAAAATAGTTTTAATATTTCATAATGGGAAAAGATGGTACTAAAGTGATTAATCTTTAGTTAAAAGTTCATTGCTTACTGAAGCACAGTAGACTAATTTTAACATAATATGGTGCATAGCAGTTTTAATCTCTGTATGTTATTTTTAATTAGATTCCATTGTTATTAAAATGTAATCATATAAGTTAAGCTAATAATAACTTCAATATTTTTTTGTTTAAATGTGTTAGTAAGGTCTTTGAAAAAGACTTTCACAAAATGTATAATACATGATACAACTAACCCAGCATGAGTTATTATTTATACTTCTCATCATTGTTTATAACATTTGAAAAACAATTTATATTGTTGTGAACATTATAAAATGAGAATGTATAAAATGTTTTCATTTATATAAATATATATTTACTATTATAATCCTGTTGATTAGACATGAAAAAAAGCAGGTACTGTGAAAAGAGAGCCTATTTTTTACATCAAGAATTGACTGAAAGTTTTAACAATAGTTGAATTGTTTCGAGATGAGGTTAATATAAATTTTTGGTAACATATTGTAAAAATAAAAATCATTTATGTAATTTTTCATATTAAATAAATCTACCTCCAAGAATAGGAATTTGTTGTTTTTTATATGGACAGTAAGAAGAACTTTGCCATTGCAGACTATGGCTTAATAACCCTTGAGTAAGTAATGGGAAAATAAAGTAATATTTGCCTTTTTAGTGGATTTTACATCATTGTTATCATTGTCATATTTTTCTTTAGGGACTTGAATATTTGTCTCAAATGGTCTGGTTGATAACTTGAATGGGCAGAGTTGATTTATGAATTCAGTAGAACCACCAAATTATCATTCAGCACTGTATAAACTAGTAAGATTCTTTTTTTTAGTGTTTTATGAAGGAAAAGTAGCTCTACGGTGTATTCTCTCCTGGGTAGCACTGTCAAAAATCAATGTGCCAGTATGTGAATCTGCCTGCATTGGGATAGGTTAATGTATCTTAAAAATATGTGTATCTGTGAAGCATCCCTTATTTATTCATGAGGAACAACTTCTTCTGTCTCTCTTAATCATCACAGGATCAGTAGGCATGTGAAGTTACGCCATTCAAGAAATTGTGTAATCAGATAATTTTTCAGAGGTTTGAATTTTGACATGTTCACAAAATTTGTGATTTGTTTAGGTTGTGGGCAGCATTTTGATTGTTTCAAGCTATTTTATTGTTACTGTTGCATATAATATTATAATTATGCAGCCCTTTCATGTCTAGTGTTGATATGCTTGAACATAATGTATGATAATTGTTATGTCCACGACATTAGTAAGTAGAATCGGTGGTTATTACTTGGGCTTGCTAACTGTTTCTTCTTTTTCCAGATACAGGTTACCATGGCTGCATTGAAGAACAGCCCTCCATAACTTTTGAACTATGTGGTGAGACTACAGCTTCTTCGTATCATCATGCATCTAGTGGTGGAAGTTTAACCATCATTGGGAGTGAAGCTGTGGCTTCCAGTGATGACAACAAGATGGGGTTGGTGGTACATGCATTGACTGAATCAACACCAGGCATCCACTTTCTGAGTCATGAGGTAGAAGAGGATGGGCGAGGATGCATTCTAGTGACAAAATGTGAGGAAGCAGATTCTGAGGAAATCCTGGCAGAGAGTGGCAGGATGAGAGGCAGGCAGGAACTTCTGGAGTATCTGATACGTGAGGATGGCACTGTGGTGTGCAAATGGTGTGGTGAGATCCTTCCTTCGCGAACACATTGGTACCGTCACAAGTATAAGTTCCATCCTTCTTCATCTGGCACTCAGTCACCTGCTAGTTTGTACAAGTGTCATCATTGCAATGTTTTCTTTAAGTCACGCAAAGGTTATACAGGTCACGTTGCTACAAGACATTCAGATGAGGAAGATAAACGGGACAAGAACAAAGAAGACTTTGGCAACGAAACATTATCTACAGCTAGAGTCACAGAGGACTCTTCAGCTAATGGTACTGGTGCAGGTTGTGGTAGCAGTGGTGGGGGTAGAGGAGGAAGGCGAAACACAAGGAGCGGGGCTGACGCTCAGGGGAGGAGCGCTGACTACGAGAAGCAGCGGGAAAAAGAGGAGAAGCTAGTAGCAGAGATCATTGACAGAGTGAGACGGGAATGCGAGGCTCAGGGTGCGACAGTAACGAGAAGAGGTTACTCTCGCAGATCAACGGTGATGAATTCTTGAATTGGGGGCATGAAACAAATGGCTGCATAAATCTGTATGTGGCCTGTGTCTGTGTTCCAGAATTTAAACTTTATTGGGGGGGGGGGGGC